AAATAGCAAATTTTACATTCAAAATGACCACCAGTGGGCCATTTTTTCTCTGATCATAAGTAAGACATATGGAAGACATTATGTATTGTCTTCATGTAAAGTCTGAATGAAATCCATCAATAGGTGTTCAAGATATAGCCTCGGACGTACGGACTTACGTATGTACATACGGAACAAACCCAAACATAATAGTCCCCGTTTTCGGACTTCGTCTGAACAGGGACTAAAAATATTTTCGCTCGATTTTATTTTCACTGAATCATCACTTCAGCAAAAATAAAATCGAAAAGAAAATAAAGTATTTTTACAGTACAGATTCTGATACTCACCTGGTGAACAAACTCATTATTTTCATTGATAAAGTTGACTTGTGGGATGGTGTTACTCAGTAACTGAGGATTTGGCAAGCTATTAAGAAAAGTAGTGTCTGTAATATTAACAGCTGGTCCAGTGGAAGTGGTTGCCGTTGACAACATAGCCGATTTTTGATGTCTTTTAAGTTTGTCCAGCAATAGATGATAAACTGCACTATGATGGTCGTAACTTTTTACGTCTAAAGACTGTTGAAGAAAATAAATATAAAAATTATATTTGATTTATTAGAAACGCATCACACAACAGAAGCACATCACACAATTTCTTCAATGCTATCAATAACGAGCCATTGCTCAAAGCGTTTAGCTATTTTTAATAGTTACTTAGAACAACAATTACCAAATATTATCTATTATCTATCAAATTGTATTTGTTGTATGCAGGATCATTTAAATATGACTTGGCACTAGAACCACATTTATTAAAACAAAATGGTCGCCAGTCGGCTATTTTGAATCTTATCTGAAAACAAAATGATGTGCATCAAGGTCTTATAATATAATGTCCAACGTATGTACCAAGTTTGAACAAAATCCAGCTGTAAACAGCCGAGAAATGCTTGATTTTGATGATTTTTAGAACAAAAATGAGCCGCCATTCGGTCATCCTGAATCAGATCGTGAAACAAATTGATATGCATATGTATAATATCATGTATGATGTATATGTGTGAAGTTTTATTGTGATTGGTCCAGCATTTCTAAGATACAGGTCAGGACGCACGCTCGGACACACGGAAACACGGATGCACAGACGCACGGAGGTCAAAACAAAAGTCCCTGTTTTCAAACTACGTCCGAACGGGGACTAATAATCAGAAACACTTCAGCTTGCTCTGATTGATCACTTAAATTTTATCATCCAATCACTGACACGAGATGTGATTACCTGACCCAATCACTGAGGTCCCCTACTATTGTTCCTCCTGCTTACCTTTAATATTCTTTCTTTGTCAAACCGTAAATGTACCATGTGTTCTATAACAAGTTCGCTGATTGGATCCTCTACTGGTTCCAAATGACTCTGATTACTGCTGTCCAATATGAGTTGGTCAAAGGTCGGGTCAGATTCATTCATGTTCATCCACTTGTGTGACACGACCTGGTCTATTGTGAATCCTTTTTTTAGGATCTAAAACTAGCATATTCTTTATTAAATGTTCACATTCTATAAAAAAAAAAAAAAAAGGATGTATTACCAATGTGAATGACAACAATAAGGACTCCATCAAGGCTACTATTCACACTGCTGAAATCTTCCATGGATAGCCTAAATGATTGGGAAAACACCTTATTAAAGAAGATGAACTGAATGTGCTTCTGTTGGTTAATTACTTGCTAACTATGCAAATATAAGAATGAATTTGAGCAAACTGTTAGCATAGAATAAAACTGTTTTAAACAGTTCAAACAATTATTATTAATTAATATAATTTGAAATTTATTGAGTTCACTGTCTCCTCTATTCAAAGAACAAAAAATGTCATTTCTGTCTCTAGTTCCATATGGATGGGTAATTGTCTCTTATTTTCTAAACTGATGGAACAATTCCATCCCACCTAGGTAATTCTTGGTGAGAACTCTTAACCCATCATGTGCCAGGTTTGGATTAAATGGTCAATGAACTTCAGACAAAGTTATAGACAAATGATCAGTGCCCATTCCAAATATGTGGAGATGGGGCAAATTATAAGCCATAGTATATGACTATTTGTTGTAAGTACGAACTATGTTCACCTTTTCACCTCAAAAAGTTTCTGTACATTTTTCATAAAATCCTTCAATATTTCTAGAAAGGAACCCCAATTTTGGAGCAAACAGACAAAATTTGAATCAATTTTCAGTTTTTACTCAAAAAATTTGGCTATATATGTCCCAATTTTCTGAAGGAAAGTGCAGACTATAAATGTTGTGAATTTGTGATATGGCAAGAGAGAACACCGACAACACTGACAGACTTACTGACAGACTCACTGACAGACTCACTGACAGACTCACTGACAGACTCACTGACAGACTCACTGACAGACTCACTGACAGACTCACTGACAGACTCACTGAC